GGGGCTGTTTTGAACGGCACCACGGCGGGGATTCCAAAACGGCTGTGTCCTGTAGGGCGGTAGCCACCTGCCAGGTATTTGCTTTAAGACTTTAAGTAGTCACACCCTTCTCATGAAGCCCATTCGAAACCGAAGCAGGTTTTTTTTTATGCGTAAACAAGGCCATTGATTGATTGACTTAAATCTGACTGTACCTAGTTGTCCATGAATCTGACCCTTCCCGTGTTGATTTATTATTTACGCGTAAAAATAACAGACAATCCGCCGTCAGTTGACAAATCATTTCACGCGTATATTTTTTATACATTTTCCATAATTAGTGGCCTTCAAGAACGCAGGCATTCCGTCACCATGTAATTATAAGCTACTTTAACCTTAGCTAACCATAGGCACTGACGCTTGCCTGCTGAGTTTTGAGGGGTAGTTTGAGCTCGTTGGTAAAAGATGAAATGCAATAATGCGACTAATAACATTACATCACAACTGCTAAACCTATGCGAATTTAGCTCGTGATCCAACAGGGATTGGGACCGTGCATACATTTATAAATGTCCATCTTAATATTGAGCCTTAAAGTCAAGGTGCAATCGCGTGTGTAAGAACAGACGTTTTAGAATTGATATGTTGCAAGTCGTTTGTTAACGGCACCTCTGCAGTCACAAGAGGCGCTACCATTCACCACAGTGATATCGAATCGCGGAAAACATCAGTCAGCGATCAATATCTGAAACGTTCCTGGGTGCGCCCTTCATCAAGCCGCACCGACCAACGTGGTGAAGTCTGGGTCAATTAATAATCGCCGGCTCCTACTGCACAGGAATATTCACTACGGACCTACACGACGGCCACAGCAGGAACTGCAAGCGACTCTCACGTTTTACAAAGGATGATCCATTTATAGAGACCCTCTTGAAATAATAGGGATACTGTCCATTGAGAAAATAACATTCTTGCATTTCACAGCCTCTACACCTCCCACCAAGTCCATACTGTGCACGTATTGCATCTTTAACACTAGCCGGATACACCTTGTCCAGCATTTGAAGATGAGTCGGCCATCGTGTGGCGGCGTTCATGGCCCAAATTGGGTCAATAACATCGCAAATTACTTCATTGGAAAACACAAAGTAATCGTCGTCCTCTATTGAGACAACTTGGTATGACCCTCCTATGAAAGAGTTGAGACTCGGTGAGGATTGCCTGGGTAAACAAGCGTGATAATATATTTGTGGCATCAACGGATTTTACTGATGTCATCTTGAATAATGGATATCTCAGTTGGGTATCTATACACGGCTCATCCTGTCTGTATTACGAAACAGGATAATTAACGTCATTGTGGATAATTGTCCACAGCTACGCTAATGATTGGCACTTTGTCATGCATTATATAAGCTTGTGTCAAACCAGAACCCCCTATCTTTAAATGAGGTCATTTGCCTATCGCATCTGGCAGTTCAACCATCATTGATGCCCTCCCTCACACCTTCGATTAGCATGATTTGCTATGTTCAGTGCGAAATAAGGTCAACATGCGTACAAGCAAGCTTGACTCTGCTGATGAGACACTTTATGTGTAGATGTAATCAAATAACTCAACATATTTGTAAATAGAAACTGGCTTAGCAAGAAGGTAAAATATACAATAGGCGATGTTTCGTGCCATGGCCCTGTCAACTCACTATTACCAATTAATTTGTGCGTGCAAACATGTCCAGATTTGGGTTGTATTTAATCAATGCCGCTAACATTGTTTTTTTATTTGCATTATTTTTTTATTTCCCTTCTACGTGACTTTACAGAAAGAACCAAGAATATGAATCCCTGCAGTCACGAAAGTTTTAAATAGAAATTATTTACTTCTGTAGAAGGCCGTGGGGCTGATGGACTGTGTAACAAATCCTTTTTACGTGTGAAGAAACAAAAATATATAAAGGAGACGCCTTTGCTTGTCAATTCTTTAGGTTCGTAATGTAAATAATGTCACGCCCCTGTTGGCCACTCTCATGTATTGCCGTCTTCTCCACTCAGCCCATCGACTACCGCCGTTCGCCACTCAGCGGCGGTAACATTTGCCAGGCCGGGTGCAGTAGGTCACGGGACAGACACTAGTAATGTGGTTTGGCTGATGTGCCAGGCTAGGTGCAGTAGGTCACGGGATAGACACTGGTAATGTGGTTTGGCTGATGTGCCAGGCTAGGTGCATCCTGATGCCACGTGAAGTGGTGGAAGGTTGGCTGCTGATGTACCAGGCTAGGTGCAGTAGGTCACGGGACAGACACTAGTAATGTGGTTTGGCTGATGTGCCAGGCTAGGTGCAGTAGGTCACGGGACAGACACTGGTAATGTGGTTTGGCTGATGTGCCAGGCTAGGTGCATCCTGATGCCACGTGAAGTGGTGGAAGGTTCGCTGCTGATGTACCAGGCTAGGCGCAGTAGGTCATGAGACAGACACTGGTAATGTGGTTTGGCTGATGTGCCAGGCTAGGTGCAGTAGGTCACGGGACAGACACTGGTAATGTGGTTTGGCTGATGTGCCAGGCTAGGTGCATCCTGATGCCACGTGAAGTGGTGGAAGGTTCGCTGCTGATGTACCAGGCTAGGCGCAGTAGGTCATGAGACAGACACTGGTAATGTGGTTTGGCTGATGTGCCAGGCTAGGTGCAGTAGGTCACGGGACAGACACTGGTAATGTGGTTTGGCTGATGTGCCAGGCTAGGTGCATCCTGATGCCACGTGAAGTGGTGGAAGGTTCGCTGCTGATGTACCAGGCTAGGCGCAGTAGGTCATGGGACAGACACTGGTAATGTGGTTTGGCTGATGTGCCAGGCTAGGTGCAGGAGGTCACGGGACAGACCCAGGTGTTAAGGGTTGATTAATGTGTCCAGCGAGGTGCAGGTCACGAGATAAACGCAGGTATTCCATACCTGTCAACCCATTATCAGTGCCTACCTTATTACAGACCAATTCAGACCTTATTGATCACCCCGTGCCCTTTATAAATCTCAACGTTTATCCGACAAAGTCCCATTACAAGAGAGAAACACAAACAAATAACACAATTGTTTAGTCCGTATTGAAACGGCTGTACGCCCGTATGGGCCCGGGAACTCAATTTTTACAGTACAAGAATACGGGTAAACCGTATGGGTTTACACGGTATATGTTACCGTGGTTTGACTGACGTGCCAGGCTAGGTGCAGGAGGTCACGCTCGCTGACGTCATCACGTTGTGTAACGTTTCTTGGGTTCGCTTTACATAACGCGGTTGTGTAACTCGCTGCGACGTGACGACTCGATTCGATTCCTACGGCCGCTGCAGGATCGCGAGAATCGATTGTTTCATTTATTTGGTAATAGCCCTGTGAGCCATTCGGCTCTTGAATCGGGTGCAACCGCAACAAACAAAAACATGAACAAGAAAACATCTTAAAGTGATTACGCGCAGATCCAGGAAAATCCAGGAAAAAAACAGGAAAGTCTGCCACGGGTTTGTCAACACAGATTCACGGACGGAAACCCTTGCTGGAGCCAAGAAATGCCAAGCTGATATGAATACAACATACCTATTATTGGGTCTTTCGGTAAAGTCACGTAGATAGGTTCAAAAAAAATAACAACAAATATTTTATTAGAACCTATCTACGTGGCTTTACCGAAAGACCCAAGAATATTAATTCCTGCAGTCACGAAAGCTTTGAGTCAAAATACAACATGCCTGTCAACCCATACGGGTTTTACCCCGTATTCTTGCACAGGGAAATTTAGTTTTCAGGTCCGTACAGCGGTTTCAATACCGGCAAAAAAAAGTTAATTATCTGTTTGTTTGTCTTTCTCCCTTATGATGGGGCTATGAATGATAAACGTTGAGATGTATAAGGGCACGTGGTGACCAATTAGGTCTGTAATAAGGTATGCACTGATAAGGGGTTGACACGTATATAGCTATGGACCCACACCGTAAATAAACCACTGCGCTCCTCGAACACAGAAGAAACAAATAGCAAAAACTACGCGGAAACTTTCTCATGAAGCCCTCTCATTACGGCTCGCAGACCTCGGCATTGGAATTTATCTCCTGGACAAATTTGCCGTACGCAGCAATACATAAAAATTGCACGATGGATTCTACAAATGACAGCCCATTAAAACATGGCAAGGTTGGGCGTTCAATGTTGTTGGCATGTGGTTGGAACCGTTGGGAGTGACGTTGGCCTAATGTTAAGCCAAAGTTAAATGCTTACTGGCAACACTGCAAAAGCACGTCACTATAGCTTGTATATTCAGGCAATGGTTCGGCAACTGGCCACGACTTATTTGAGTGGCGAGCGATGTGTGAACCAATTCCGTGTCCCCCGCCAACCCACTCCACTAACCCGCACTTGACCAGCATGGTGAAATTTGGTCAAATAACCCCCCCCCCCCCACGACCAACAGCGGTTGGGAGGCCTTCATCCAGCAGTGGATTGACAAAGGGCTGAGTAAAGTGTTACTAATTACATATTCCATATGCTCACACAAACATCCCACATTATATAGAGTCACATATGAAGGGCGAGACATGCATACCTGGCAACCCCTTATCAATGTCCTACCTTATTACAGACCAATTCAGATCATATTAGTCACCCCGTGCCCTTATAAATCTCAACGTTCATCCTACAGTACCATCACAAGAGATAAACACAAACAAATAGACAAAAAAAAACATTTTTTTGCCCGTTTTGAAACGGCTGGACACCGCATGGACCTGAAAACTAAATTCCCCTGTGCAAGAATACGCGTAAACTTTATGGGTTGACATCTATGTGAGGTCATTATAACCACGAGGGGTCAAGATAAATCTATGGTGGTGTGGTGTGTGGTGTGTGGGTCTCTTTAATTGGATCACCGTCGAGATTTCGCGTTCCAAAAACCCACAACGCATTCAATCCCCCCCCCCCCAGCCTCGTCGATTCCACCTCCGGTGACCGCTCGCGATTCCCCGCGAATCGATTCTCGTCTCCACACTCGGGGCAAGATGAGTGATCGTCACCGCTGCGTGACCGCGTCTCCTCGCGACCACCACCAACATCACCACCATCCAACAACGAAGAGACGCGATGTTTAAACAAGTTCCTGCCGTCATGTCCACCACGCCGAGCGCAGAGGCGTTGGACGCGGACGAGACCGAGGGGTGGACCGCTCTGCCCGACGCGGCTTTGCGGCGAGGCGACGCGCTTGCTCGGCACGGCCGTCTCGACGAGGCCCTGGACGCGTACGCAGCGGCACGTCGCTTGGGTCTTGCGCTGAGCGGCGAGCGCCTGTTCGCCCTGGCAAGGCTCATGGCCGTGCGCCTTCGTGTCAACATCAACAACAACAGCAGCAGCAGCAGCAGCAGCTACCACAGCGGGGAGGCAAGCCGGAGAACGAATCTTGCGCCGTCGGGGAAGCGAGGAGAGGCGGGCACGGCAGGGGCGGTGGGGTCGGCGTTCGCATGGTCGGGGTCTGGGTCTCTTGTGAGATCTGGGTCTCTTGTGAGATCTGGGTCTCTTGTGAGATCTGGGTCTCTTGTGAGATCTGGGTCTCTTGTGAGATCTGGGTCTCTTGTGAGATCTGGGTCTCTTGTGAGATCTGGGTCGGGGTCTGCGGGCTTTGCTGGGTGCCCGGGGTCTGCGTCTCTTGTGGGATTTGGGTCGGGATCTGCGTCTCTTGTAGACCCGGTGGCTTGGGGGGAGCTGCGCGCTCTGGGTTGGGGTCAGAAACGATGTCTGCAGGAGGAGCAGCGGCCGCCTCTGTGTCGGGCCTTTTCGACTGCTGCTTGTGTCGCTTCTGGCTGTCGGAGCCCGTGACCCTGAGCTGCGGCCACAGCTGCTGCAGGAGCTGCGCCGAGCCGCGGGTGGCCGGGGCCGCGTTTGACGAAGCCGCATCATCCCGACAACTCGCAGTGGAGGCGTGCGGGACATGCGGGGCCGTGTCCGCCTGTGCGCCTGGGACGCCGGTCCGTGTGGACGTGCTGCTGGGCGGTCTGCTCGCCAAGTGGTTCCCACGAAGGGCAGAGGCGGCGCAGGTCCGCGTGGAGGCTGCGCGGCTCTTCGCCGTCGGCAATGAGCTGCGAACGACGCTGGGGATGTGTGAGCGGGCACTCGCACTCGGTACGGTCTTCCCAGAAGGTTCACTTGGGGCCGTGGCAAGAGACATTGAGGTTCTAACGGGGAGGGCCGTGTCCATCGCAGGAGGTTCTGAATGGCCGTGGCTTTTCGAGAACGTTCAGAGGCCACTAACGGAGGTTGTCTTCATAATGAAGGGTTTTGGGTTAGATCGCGGAAGTATACATGTGTCATCTTCTTGGTTTTTTCGGTAAAGTCACGTAGAAGGGAAGTAATAAAATAATGAAAATATTTATTACTTCCCTTCTACGTCACTTTACCGAAAAAACCAAGAAGATGAATCCCTGCAGTCACGAAAGCCTTAAATCGAAATATAAATGTGTCGTAAGCCTCCACCACCCGACACAGCCAGTTAGGGTTGTCACGTAAACAACGCGCTAATTAGTTACTACTTCAGCCCACCGGTGTGTTGGAGAGTAAATCCACGACATTTACAATTTGAGTACGACGTTTAGCTGGTAATTACATCCCGAAATTATACTTACGCGATCTAACCCAAAAAAACATTTTTTAATATTGGTCGCGAAAGCCAAAGTGTTAAACGGACGTTCTCTTTACTGGACACCGTCGGATTCCTCCAGTCGAAATACAAATTCTGATGACCATGTGAAAGAGCTCGCATCCCATGTTCCTGGTTCAAACCTTAGGCATTTCTGTGCATTTCTCTCTTGTGATTCTTAATGACCTCGTCAGAGGCACTTTGTTTTAATCACGAGAGGCTCATAATGGTCATATCAGAGACACCGTCCCGTGAGATAATGAGTTGATGGGTAAAGGAGGCCAACAGGTTGGCCACAGGCCTTGTGGCTCCATCATATCGACTGTTACTGTCAATACTTTTATTTTTAATATTTGTATTAGATTGCTGCTGTACACAAGAACAAAGGTCCGCTGCAGAATGTTGGATGACAAAAAAACGCACCGAATATCTGCCAGGCGCATGTACCCGACGTGTCCTGGTTGATGAAAGGGGGTGGGGACAGATAACCCGGGAATGCTGTCAATACTTAGGGATAGGAAGGGAGCGTGCATTGATTCCTTGACAGAAGGGACCCTAGAATTTGGTGTCAGAGGGTGGGTGCTATGTTCTATCTTGGCTCCCATACTGGACTTGATCCTCCAGTAACTCAAACTTGACTCGCGACAGAGGGACACTCGTTCTTTTCTCGCCTGGTTAAATACAAAAGAGGGTTGACTGTTGCTGATGGTGCTGCTTTGTTATTTGCTTGGGTCACAATTGTCTCAGTTCCAGGTGACGTGGGAGCGCTGGTCATGGGGTCGAGGGTTCGCTTGGAGATGGGAGACCCAACTGGCGCTCTCCGTGACGCAGAGCAGGCTTGCCGAGCACAGCCACACAATGCACAGGTACTTTCACCGGACATCAAATAATGGATTCTTGAATTACAACCTCGAATTATGACAATTTATCAAAATTATTGCCGGTGAACCATTACATGGCTAATATTCTGTGTCTGTGGATGCTTATGCGCGTGTACGAATTCAAAGGCCGTGGTGGCGAGGGGCTGGAGTCTACTGGCACTGGGCCGGCAGGAGGAGGCAGTGGGGGCGCTTCTAAGAGGCCTCGCGCTCGATGCTACCCAAGAGGCAGCCGCTCGTGCCATCGGCGAGGTCAGAGGTCGTGCAATCCTCGCTGCTCTTTTTGCCCCTGTCGGAAGGTCGTGGGAGGTTAGGCCGTGAGCATTCTAAAGGGGACGATGTACGATCAATGTCAATTATTGATAACTAAAGTCAGTTAGAGCTCTTTGTCAATCCACAGTACTTCAACACCCCAGTTCAGATATCACTCCATTAATGTTTGCCATCGCTGAGAATTGAATTCAGGTTGCTTGGTTCATAGCACTGTCAATTTCTGGTCTAATAGCCCAGTAGGTTTTGGGAGTTTGACAAATACAGTGCAATACAATTTGGGTTTATATAGCATCTGAATGCAGTCATGTCAATACGCTGTACAGTAAGGTCTCAGAGTACGCAGACCCGCTCATACGCGACTGACCCCGATTCATACTTACACTTGTAACTCGTACTTTTACTACACGCACGGGGCGGGAAGTGAGTTAAATTACATCCGCCATGACGTGAACATGTATTTGAGGGCGTGTAACTGTATCGCCTGTGCTACAAATTATTAGTGAATAGTTAACTGTACAGTACTGTACTTTATTAAACATTTATGTACATTTATATACATTTTATGTACACTATACTCTTTGGTTCTTTCGGCAAAGTCACGTAGGTAGAAACATAAAATAATAATATAAATTAGAAAACATTTTTTTTTAGATTTTTCTACCTACGTGACTTTACCGAAAGAACCAAAGAGTATGGATTCCTGCAGTAACGAAAGCTTCAAATCAAAATGTATGTACAATCTTACATTTTATATACACTCGTGTAGGCGAATCCCAACTTACGCAAATTCTCACTTCTGCGGGGTTACACGAAACCTAACCCCCGCGTACTCTGAGACCTTACTGTACAAAGGTTCAAGAACCTTTGGATTACAGGTTTCTGCCACGTCACCCAGTGCAAACCTTTGCTGTCATCTGGCGATATAATGTTTTTTGTTTCTTATTTCATAAAAAAAAATCCTTCATGCCTGACAGATATGACTTCATTCAAGTTAAATACCTAATGAGTCAAGTTATGCATTACCAGGTATTAATGTGAAGGCTAAAAGTCTACTTAGCACCTCTTAGCCTCTCTTATGGGTGCATTCTGGTTTCTTCCCTCATCTTCTTGGTTCTTTCGGTAAAGTCACGTAGAAGGGAAATAATAAAATAATACAAATTAAACATAATAAAATACAATTCTCACGACGTCTCGGCCACAACGTAAGCAGCCGTCCTCAGGTGAAGAACAGGTCTGTCGGAAAGACATCCATTCAGACGCTGTCTTTCCGACAGACCTGTTCTTCACCTGAGGACGGCTGCTTGCGTTGTGGCCGAAACATCGTGAGAATTGTATTTTATTGTTTTATTTTTATTATTTCCCTTCTACGTGACTTTACCAAAAGAACCAAGAAGATGAATCTCTGCAGTCACGAAAGCTTTAAATCGAAATTTCTTCCCTCATGTCAAACACAAAAAAATTGCTACGTTCCCAACAGGAAACTTCTAATATTCAACATACATTTCCTGGTTAAAGGAACAAGAGTATGTGCACTGTATATATTTTTTAGGACTTCAACAATAAATTATATTTCATTTGGGTTATTATTTGAGTGGGATTACTTGACAAACGGTCCATATCTGGCAGCAGAACAACATTTTTACCTGGTAACAATATCGAGTGATGATGGTGATGCCACCATTGATCACTTGCCTGATCATCGCATGGCATATCATTTTGTTGAGGCCATCATTCCCATCATCATATTGGGGCTATCAGAGAATGTGCTGAATCAATGAAACGCTACACGCTCAAATCCTATTATGGTAAGGCCTCGATATCCATGAGGGTTATGTTCTTGCAAATCTGCGCAAAAGTTAAATTTGCGAATGTAGATACTGTGTTGATTTGAAACTTTCGTGACTGCAGGAATCCATACTCTTTGGTTCTTTCGGTAAAGTCACGTAGGTATAACATAAAAATCACGACGTTTCGATCGCAACATAAGCGGTCGTTCTCAAGCAGAAAAATATAATCCAGCAGTGGAACTGCTGAACTAGCGAGAGAGCAGTTACAACAAGGCTCTCTATGTGGCGATGGGCAAGCAAGTGGGGTATGAGCTAGAAAGGAATTCCACCCCCGGACGCAAGCACCTCAGTTGTGTTAATGGGGGTTATGGAGAGAGGGATTAGGGAGGGAGATTAGCATGATTGAGCTTCCCTTTCTCCCTAATCGCCCATTAACACAACTGAGCAGCAGCTGTACTATCACCACAAGCAAGTCAATCCAACAACTTTTCTTTCTAAGCTAAACCTTTCACTTTTTTTCTGCCTTTTGCCACTCACTAGATGCTTATACCCAATGATCGAAATAAAAGACCACTACTGTACTGCACAAGTACCCCATCCCCATTATGCGATGTTGCCAAATCGCGAATAGTCGAAGGGGGAAACAAGGCACGAAACTTAAACTGGTGTACAAATATTGAATTGCGAATGACCGCATTTCGCGAAAGAAAAATCCGCGAATGAAGAGGTTTTACTGTAATTGTACCCTCTCCAATCAAGACTAGGGCAAATAAAATATTCAAATTGGCAACCATAGAACACGTGGGACAAATCGACTTTTCAGGAGATATGGGCCCCATTTATTACACCCACCGACCTCGCACGTAATACTCCAAGATCCAAATCGCTGCATCATGTTCTTTCATATTTGAATTCCATTCTGCTATTTTAATTAAAATCGATGTTTAAATTTGTTTAGGATTCAAATATCCTCTACACCAAATCCCTTCCCTTTTCTCTTTGACTAATTTAATGATACTTAAATAGAATGGGAACATATCGACTGGTTTAAGATGTTCAGCATCATTATTGTGCACACGTGTATTGTGCTCGATTCTTTTGTTGAGTAAATAAATTAAGTGGTTGTGTGGGTAATCGTGTGAGCAAAAGGTGTTGACCTGTCATTATAAGTCTCATTGGAAACTATGCCTCGGCACTGAAGTTTGACTTATGAACATTGGGTGGCCCATGCTGGTATGCTGTTGTTTGGATCATGTGACTCCACAGATCCTCTCTGAATGGCTAAGCCCGGTTCCGGAGCAGGTTGGCGTGGCAAGCAGGAGCCTCAAGAGTGGGACCTTCCTTCAGTCACTAGGCAACCAGCCAGTCAATCATGTAACGTAAAATACATTACTTTGTATACTTAAGATAATTATTGCACAGCGTCTATTGTGGATGAAAAGGGTGTGTTTGCCACAAGGTGGATTGTGGGAGTATGCTACTTTGTGCATTGTAAGACTGTGTGCATATGTATTATTGGGAGACAAAGGCGGCTGGATTTGGTGATGGCCACACCACCTCCCCGTATGCCATACCGGCCTTCATATGTGCTTGCTAAAACCACGTACCCCAACAGTTTGTACGGCCATAAGGGGGTCTTTTTGTTTTCAGATGCATGCTAAAGGTTTGTGTGAATGTGCGTGCTGCAAGGGTTGATGACGACTCGTGTGTGTTGATGTGGATGGTGAGAAATTGCGTATCTCAGGGTGGATGATGAGGAAGCATGTGCACTGCATTGAGGATGTTGCAGGGTGGATGTTGAGGGAGTGTATCTATTTCTGTGAGTATGGATAATGAGGGTGTGTGTGTCAGTGTGGATGCTGAGGGATTGTATGTCATTATGGATGGTGAAAGTTTGTGTTGGCGTGTATGTGGGGAGCAAGCCTTCAACCTTCGCGTGGCCTTAAAGTGCACCTGGCCTGGCATAGGCCCCGTGGTGATGTCACCGTCATTTGGTGGCGAATGGCAGGTATTGGTGTGGGGAGCGGTAGTGTGGCGGTTAGCGCGCTGCGCTATGAACCCGGCGACCTGAGTTCGATTTGCGCTCACGGCCAAGACCAGTGACGATTATTTGAACCGGTCCTGGGTCTCCCCTACATCGACTCGGCCTCAAATGAGTACCTAGTGCAGTGTGCAAACATCCATACTAGGGAGAGAAAGTTGGTCGGGCATGGTGCTGGCCACCCCACCCCCTCTTGTGCCGTGCTAGCCTTCATAGGTGCTCGCTAACGGTATTTGCCCCAATAGTTGTTGATGGGGGATCTTTGTCTTTTGTCTGGCTGCAGTGTACAGAGGGTCAGGTAGAAGTTCATAAGAAGCGGAAGCACTCGGCCTCTGACTCGGACTGCGATGGAGAGGGTCAACCACCACATCCAGACTCAGCTGGTGAGGCCTGGGAGCATGCGGGTTAGTGTGAGTGATTTTGAATATAAGAGCATTTTAAGCAAGTGAGTGTGATGAAGCGTTTAAGCACATGCAGAATTTTTTGCATGTATGTGCAACTGCTTGTGAGCTTATGAGTATTTCAGATTGATCATGTTGGTGTTTGCATGCGTAGTTGAGTCTTAATAAGTGTGCAACTGCATTTATTAAGTTGCATATGCATGTCAGAAGTGCTTGTGTAGTGGTTCACACCAGGGAGGCAGAGACTTCTTAGAGGCAACACGTTTATTTCGAGCCTTCGAGAGGGACTTGGTCCTGGTCCCGTGGTCCCCCAGCCCCCTCTTTGGGGCCCCGGAACCGGTACTTCCGGTCACCAGGCCTCCAGGTTCACATGGAGTGCCATGGCCCCCTGTGTACCCCTGCACCGTCCCTGGCACTCTCGCCCCCTAACCTCCAGAGGCTGGCACTGCACACGTAGTGCAGTGCCGTCCGTCCTTGATCGGCGATCTTAGCCGGCCCCCGCTAGGGCCGGTACTGCATTCCCACTGCAGTGCTGTAGGTGGTGTGAGCGGCGTGTGTCGTGCCTCACACAGGCCGGCTTCACACAACATGCAGTGACATCCGCCGATGCCACTACACTTGGATGAGCGGCCACCGTGCATAACACAGTTGTTGTAAACTGTTGTAGCCCTACATTATCAGCAGAGGACAGTGCAGAAAAATCCTGGGCTACCCATGACCAACCCGCAGTGACCAGCATGGCGAAGTATGGTCAGATATCCTGTACATGTGCAATGACATGATGGCACCTGCTGGTTAGAAAAGGGAAGCAGGCACCGCTAAAACAACATCCAATCCGATAGGGAGAGGTATCTGGGCAAAGGTAATGGGTGGGGCTCGCCGGGATGCTCCGGGAACCCGCTCGAAGGTTCCACGATGGGGCGTGGCGAGAGGCAGAGCCTAGCCGCGCCTGCGGTGATATAAGTGTGGGCGGAGGAGAACTCGGGGTTCGTGTGTGGAGTCCTGGGTCCGGACTGCGTCGCTGCTCGCCGTCATCTCTCTCCGTCGTCCGGCCACGTGGAAGATCTCCAGCGCCGCCAGCCAGCGGCGAAGCCGAGAGTGGACGGGTGGAACCACACCGTGCGATCGCCGTGTGTGAAGCCAGTAGAGACGCTAACATCTAAGTGTTGTACTCAGAATGAGAAGATTAGGTTGGCCTGTGTTGTGCCCGTGTGTAAATAAAGAAGAAGTACCCTCTACACGACATGTCGCGGAAGTCGCTCATTACACATAAATAGCCAATAGGCTGATATACTATTAAAATATTTCAATTTGCTTTTACAAATAGCAGTGTACAGCAGTATTGGTCAGTATCTGAGTGGCCTGAGCCTCCAGTAGATTTACTCTGCCTTAAAATGAGTACCTGGTGCTGTGTGGGCATTGGATAGACAAGGGCAGTAAGGCGTGTTTAATGTTGGCCTTGTCACTTTCCCCTTATGTGCCTTGCAAATGCCCCATGTGTTTGAATGTGTGTGATGTATGAAGCCTTTTGATCTAACCTCATCCCATTTTCTTGTATTAGAATGTGATTATATCAGCGAGGTACGCAGGCATCGTATCGACCCATCGGACCTGGAATGCTCTCTTTGTATGAGGTACGATCACCACCATCATAATAATTTTAATCATCACTGTCATTATTGATTTTTTGTGAAAAAAGCGTGTAGAGTTTTGAGTGAGTGTGTATATGAGCACACATGTCAAGTGTGCATATGTGAGTTTGTATGTGCATGTGCATAATTGTGTGTTTGCACTGCGCTACAACTCACATAGCTCAGGTTTAATTCCTTACCATTGAAAATGTGCATGTTACCTGATCTACGCCCCACCCATTTTTATTGATTCATCCTTAAATGAGTATCTGCTATAATGTCACCATCATAGCAAGGGTTACAAAGATGACCAACTGTTTATCAACTTTAATAAGTGCTTGCTAACAGTATTGCTCAAACAATTTAATAGGATAACATGAGTCTTATTTGTGTGTGCACATACGTTCGTGAACTTATCTGTACACGTGTGTGTGTGTGTGTGTAAACACAGGCTGCTGTGGGAGCCCGTGACGACACCGTGCGGCCACACGTTCTGCACCGCCTGCCTTGAGCGTAGCCTCGACCACCGGCATCAGTGCCCACTCTGCAAGGAGGGGCTCGTGGAGGTGGGCATGGGGGACACGAAGACATCGGGAACATGGGGACCCGGGACAGTGGGGGACACGGACATGATCGGGGGTGATCGGCGGACACGGAGCAGGGGGAATATGAGTAACAAAGAGTTCATGGGGCAAGACGGACACAGGGGACATGGGGAATATAAGGGGGACATGGTTAGTGAGACACTGGAAAACAAAGGGGAGCACATGGGAATGATTATGTGAAACCGAGGACATGAGAGGGTTTGTAGAGGAATTCATACTCTTTGGGTCTTCCGGTAAAGCCACGTAGATAGATCGTCCTCACCTGAGGACGATTGCTTGTGTTACGATCGAAACGTCGTGATTTTTTATTATTTGTCTATCTACGTGACTTTACCGAAAGACCCAAAGAGTATGAATTCCTGCAGTCACGAAAGCTTTAAGTCAAGATTTGTAGAGGGATGTTTGGATATGAGGACAATGAAACATATGGAAACTCACAGGAACACAAGGAGGGACACAAGGGGACATACAGGCTCAGGGCAAACATGGAGACAGAGGGACATATATGACTTGGGGACATAGGACAAGGACATATTCAGGGAGCCATGGGGGATGTGGGGAGGCTGTTGGCTATATGCGGGAATGACAAATTTACAGTTACGGTCAGTGTGTAAATGTGGTGTGTGTGTTCGTGTGTGCAGTTTTTGGCGCGTGCCGTGTTCACCCGCAACTCATGCCTGGAAGGGGTGATGGTTCACTTCCTGGCCGAGGAGAGGCGAGAGAGAGAGCGACAGAATGCGGAGGAGCGGAAGGAGATGGCCGGGTGCGTTGCACAGACTGGGACACATGGGGATACAGGAATGAATGTGGCACCCCCCCTGAGTGTTGTGCGGTGTGTGGTGGGTGTGCTGCGTTGATGTAGGGGTTTTGCCGTACGGTGCGAGCAGCGAGGTGCCGGTGTGTGCGTGCACCATAACCTTCCTCTGGGTGGCAGTGTTGATGTCGTGTGTGGTGCAGTGTGTACGTCGTGTTGAGGGGGTGTGTGTATATTGCGATGCAGCGAGGTGCCGGTTTTTGTGTTTGCCGTGGTTGTTCCCCTGCATGCCGTGTTGACAAGGTGTGTGTGGTACTGTGCAGTGAGGTGCCGATATTTGTGTGCACCGTGGCATTCCCGTGGGTGCCGTGCCCCCTGCACGTGTTTGAGGCGCGCTACCGCCTCATGCTGCGCCGCTGCATCCGTGATGGAACTCGCTCGTTCGGCATGTGCGCCTGGGACCAGCAGCACGGGTGAGCGAGCCGCACCATGCTCTACAACAACTACACCGAAATCTGGCAAACACCACAAAAGGCCATAATTGCCGATTTTGGGGAGGGACAAACAGGTAAATGTGCATTCGCCAAACAAACACGGGGTCTATCTTAACCCAAGAACCCAGCCAGTCAGCCTCCAGCACGAATCTGACCACTCACGCTAACCCTAACCTCGCTTATTCATGCCCCCTTTTAATTAGTTCATAGTGCTTCTTCTCTCCTTGTCATCACTCGCACCATCTTGTCTGTCTTTGTTGTCCCTCTGCGACCCCATGTCTCTTAGTTGATTTGTGCTTTGGTTGTCGTGTATGCTCTTAGAGTGTGTGTTAGTGTTATGTGTGTGCCCCCTGTATATAATATTTTATAATGTATTTAGTTTTTGTGTTTTTTAAGTTCAAGCAATAAAGATTTAGGTTCAATTATATTCAGATTTTGAAGCTCAGATGAAATTGAGATTCGATATTATTTGGCTGATTCGTCTCATTCGAAATGTGTGCCCCCCCATGTGTGCTGTGGGTCAGGTTCGCGGATGTGGGCTGCATGCTGGAGGTGCGAGGTGTGCACCTGTATCCAGACGGCCGCTCCCTCGTGAGCGCCGTGGGCGGACGTCGCTTCCAGGTCACGGAGAGGTCAGCCCGGGATGGCTACAGCACGGCACGCGTGGCTCTGCTGCATGATACGCCGGTACGGAGAACACAGCAGCAAAGCACGGGACTTGAGACAAAGGAAGACACTGGCCATGGAAAACATTAGACACGGAACATGAGGACATGCTGGACAAGGTGACACGGAGACGCAGGACTTGAGAAGCAGGAAGATGGGCGTTTAAAACATGACACACTGAACAAGGGGATACAGGGAGACACGGGACTCGCATTGATTACGGTGTTTTTTTCTGGAAAACTTTGCTATTTTTTCCTGGATTTTTCTGTTGCACGTAGTCACTTTAAGACGTTCTTTGTTCATGTTTTTATTTGTTGCGGTTGCACCCGAGTCAAGAGCCACATGGCTCACAGGGCTATACCTAATAAATGAAACTGAAACTGAAGAGGGACACGAGACATCGGACCTGGGGAGATATGGATTAGGCACAGGGAAACAAGGAACATGAGATGAGGACATATGATACATGACACGTCACATGAGAGGCAAGGTTATGATGCTGTGGTGACACTCTCAATGTAAATAAATGTTGGTTCTTGATGCTGAAGATGTTGATGGTGTATTGGAAATTTGGTGTGTGTCGTGCTGGTGCCACGTTCATGTGATTGTTGATGGTGTCTTTATTGAAGTTGATGGTGTAGGCATGAGGTGGATGCAGTACAGGATGTGAGCTGGCTTCATAATGTGTTGGTGGTGCTGATTAAGTCTAAGTGGTATTGATGATGATGGTGTTGTGATGTTGATAGTGTAGGTGGTATTTATGATGGTGTGAGATGGTGATGTTGATGGTATCGGTCCATTGTGATGAGGTGTGAGAGTTGCGCGAGCTCAGGTGATCTGATTATGGGAATGTTGATGTTTCGGATGGTGTTGTTACATTGATGGTATCGATTTTGATGTTGCAGATGCCGGGGGAGGTCGGATGTGATTTGTGCTTCCTCTGTAAAATGTTGATGATTTTGTTCATAGTGTTGATGGTGATATTGATAATGGTGATGATGATATTGTTGATGATGGTGTAGGTGCAGGGTGATGCAGTGCGGGAGCTGTGCCGCCTCCATGAAGTGGTTCGCACCTGTGCCGAGCGCTGGTTCTCAAAGTTGGAGCCCCGATACCACGGACGCATCAGCCAGCACTTCGGGGACATGCCGCAGACAGAGCCAGACATCCAGGTGAGACCCACGGTGCTCATGGTGGTAATTGTGGTCGTAGCCAACACCAGTGGCGATTATTTAAACTGATCCTGGGCCTCCCCTGGGTCGACTCAGCCTCAAATGAGTCCTGTGCCTGCAGCCATGTGTAAACATCACCACTGCAGACAAAGGAAGGGTGGGCGTGGTGCTGGCCACCCACTTTATTTTGTGTCGTGCTGTCCTTCATAGGTGGTCGATAACAGCACTTGCCCCAATAGTCTGTTAAGGCTATAAAGGGGATGTTTGTCTTGGTGGTGGTTATAGGAGTGATAGTGTGGCAATGATCTTTGAGGTATCTTCTTGGTTAGTACTACTTGTGAAATGCGTAGGAGGTGGGCTGGGGGTTTCAAAGTCATATTATGCCCGTCATATTATGGATTAGCAGCAACAAAGGGAGGGGATAGGGGTAGCATTAATAAAGGGAAGGAATGTTAATAGTATGTAGCTGCAGTGGTTGTGCTGATGGTGATGGTTATAGTTATGGTGGTTTGCAATTGTCATGGTGCTGGTGGTTGATGATGATGTTGGTGGTGATAATGATGTTGGTGGTGATGCTGCTGCTGGCAATGATGGTGATGATGCTGGAGTTGGGTCTGATGGTAGATGGTGGTGGTGTCGGTGGTGTTGTTGTGTGTAGACTAGGCCAGACGGGCCAGCTTGGCTATGGTGGCTCATTGCGGTGCTGCCGCTGGAGCCGCGTGTGCAGCTGGGGCTGCTAGGCCTCACGTCCCTGCCGGCGCGCCTCGCGGCCGTTGCACAGCTCTTGGCGTATACGGTGCGCACGCACGCACCGCAATCGCTACAGCCATCGCTACCACAACGACAGCCACGCCAGCAGCAGCAACAACCAAGCCATCAGCAGCAACAACCAAGCCATCAGCAACAACTGCAGCAGCAACCAAGCCAGCAACAACCAGAGCAGCTGCAGCAACAAGCGTTGCAGCAACAGCCAAACCAGCATCAGCCAAGTGGACAACCGCTACAAATGCTAGAGCCACTGAGCCAGCTTCAATTTAGTCCGCGAGGGCACCAGCAGGAGCACCATAATCGGCAACAACCGTGTCCATCACAGCAGCAGCCGCCGTGCCAGCAGCAGCAACACCAACACCGGTCACAGCCACAGGGACAGCAGCACCCACAGAAGCAACAACCACACACAGAACCGCATCACCAGCAGCAGGCGCAGGCAGATGTTATGGGAACACCAAGGCTCCAAGGGGAACCCAGCATTGCTATGGAGGAGCAACCAACAGCGTCACCATGGGTGGCAGCGACACAGCAAACACACGTACAGCCGTGGGGCCGGCCCGGTAAACAGCCGCAGGGGATACAGCCAAATTCTCCGGCACGGTCTGATAGTCACCCACAGCAACAGGCAAAGCCCCGTGTGTGCATACCACCCGAACTGTCAGAGCAACTGACAAAGCGACTGCACACACAACAGCACCCCCTGGACGCCACGATGTGCACAACTGCACACACAACCAAACTCTCCTCAAAAACAGCCGCACAGTCAAATACACTCACAACCTCATGCACGGCCGCACACCTGACCATGCAAATGGTCGCACACTCAACCCCGCACATGACCTCACAGTCTACTGTACAGGCAATAAGCGATGCAAATCCGCATACGACTGCAACTGCCTGTGCAGTCGCGCGCTCAACTAGTAATGCAGCTGCACGCGCAACTGCTTATGCAACGGCACACACAACAGTGCACGCGAAAACCTATGCAGTTGCTTACACAAAAGTACAAATAGCAGAAGCAATGGCACACACAGCAGAGAGTGCACGTTCGACATCGCACTCAGATGCAAACTCAGTTGGACACACAGTGATGCGCGCAGAGGGGCAGGCGATGGTGTGCCCAGCAACACAAGTAGTTGAACACAAAAGCACAACCAAACACACAGTGACACACAGACCTACACCAACAGCCGAGAACACACAAACCATGAGACACAAAGCCACACATACGATGGCACACATGGATACAACCGCCATCAACAACCACCAAGTGGATATACACACAATTGGACATGCAACTTCTCATCCGTCATCCCACCCAACGGTCCACATGTACGCGACATCGCATACAGACACGCCCACAGATGCCCACACAGTTGGGCACACATTTGTGCACACAGCCACAAACACAACACACACAACGGCACACACAATTGGAATTCCAGCCACACACCCAACAGCTGGTACATGCGGACAAACGACTGCGCAATCAACATCCAAATGCACAACAGCCGCCACCCACACTCATGGAGCAGAAAGAGGTGGTTGTACAGGTGGACATGAAAAAAGTGAGAACCGCAAACCCTCAGGGTCCTATGGGGTCACATGCTCCCACGGAGGACGTGGGGCTGCAGGTGGACGTGGGGCTGCAGGTGGACGTGGTGCTGCAGGTGGACGTGGGGCTACAGGTGGACACAGGGCTAGGAGACCGGGACGTGCAGGATCAGTACGGAGGTGACGTGGAGCCTCCCCTTGGGCAACGCTCAATTTGATATTTCATTAGACCTCATTCAGAGTTCTGCGAGATGTATGCCATTGATCATGAACGATCATGAACTCCGGGAGAATGGTTTATTACACTTTTACACTAAGTAGTTGTGGCCTTGCAGGTAATTTTTTAAGTTGGTATTTTAAAATTGCATACAATAGCCTAATCTGTGAGTGCTGTCACAGGATCTTTAAAGTCCGATTAACAGCAGGTGGCATGTTTCGGTCGATACTACCCAATGGAAATTACTGACCGAGCAGCTGTAAGGGAAGTCGAACAATGATGCCGCATTGACTGACACACTGCTATGGACAAACCAGTCACCCGATGTGTGTGTGCAGACTTGCAGCACATCCAGCTGCTTCATTACACCATTGTTGCTGCATTTGTTGCCGAGGTAAGATAAGGCAGTTTGCTGACAAATTACTGATGTAGTTATTGTCATTATACCTTTGGTGTAATTTTTACTTGAGTATGCATTGGTGTTAATACCGCCTTTTTGTGCACAGCTCTAAGGAGCCTCCTGTAAAAAAAAAGTATTTATTGTTGAAATTAATTGATGCATATCTGTTATTTTTGCAGCAAGTAACCATAATTTCTAACCTGCCTGCCTTTTCCACTCTAAACATCCAAGACACTTGTCGTTTAGATGCTGGTTTAAGGTACAGGTCATGTCCCTTAAGCCAGTTTAGTGTAAAAATATCAGTTTAAACAGTTGTCTTAATATAACATTTAAAATCAAATAGACAGTAACAATGAGAGGAAGCATTCCCTGAGTAAAATCGGATATGATCGATAAATGACATGAGCCAGAGTTTAACCAGTCGAGTTTTTCAGTTCATCTCATACCTCCCCTACTTCCAAACCACCTGAGATGGTCAAGTGGCTCGCAGAGCTCATTTGGCCATATCACCCTTGGGCTGGGCATGGCTGAATTAGCTCGATGGCTATTTTGGATTACTGGGCTCTAAGATACTAGACACCCTGCTGATATAAAACAGGGTTCGTGTGTGTACGAGTTTTCATGGTGTCAGTCCAGTTACTAATGACTGTGCAAAATAAAATACATTGTATTATGAATTTCATTTTGAACTTGACTTCAGACTCTTGAGGAAAACTAAGGCACCGATTCGATGTTGAATGTCTGGATGCCAACTTAATGTTTCTTCGTATGGGTTATCCAAGGTTAAATACTGCCATATGTCCTGAACAGACCATTGGGACAGGTGCCGTTAGTGAGCACCGATGAAGGCTGGCACGGTGCACGAGACGGTGGTGTGGGCCAGCCTTTGTCTTTCCAGTGCCGATGTTTACACAGCACACGAGGTACTCATTAAGGCTGACCTGTGTGACCCAAAAAAGGCCTTGTACTAGTTCAGATGTACGCTAACGATGTAAGCCGTGGCCAGGAATCAAACTTGGGTCACAGGGTTCGTAGCGCAACGTGCTAACCACTGCACCACCACTCCACGATCTGTAATGCCATACTTCTACACATGCATACAAAGGGACACAGCTACTGCTGTCACAAGTTTCCTACTCCATTTTTTTTTATCCCCTATCCTTCCAAACCCTAACTTTACTCTTTTTCCAGTATCGTTCCATGCACTCTGGCCATTGCAAATTTATGTAACAATGATGCAACATTCATCCAAGTATTTGGTTCAGCTAAATATGCATTGTCATTCATGCAATTGTCACGAATGCACAAACAGGATGCAATTGCAATTTTAATAAAACCTATATTAAACATTGCTTTTTTTTACATATATTTCCCATATTTTGAAGACAAGTGGAAGAACGCACCAAATGCCCTTATATTACAATAATAAAAAATTCAACGAACTTCAGTTATGTGTAAAGCGTTTGACAGCAAAACTTGCATCAGTGCAACAATACTTTACTTTCTTATTCATATTATTAAACAGGAAAACCTCCAACCGAGTCTTCAGGCTTTTGCAGGTCTTCCTTGGGATACTTTGTCACATATTTTTGGGTGTAGGCTTGACATTGTTCGCTGGGATGCTCCCCGATTACATGCTTTGCTTATTATGTGTTTGCGGTATTCACCAAGTGACTCGGTCGCCTTAGCAACATGGTGGCTCCTCTCATATCCTCTTGCTACCATAACTTTAACCTCTTAAATTTACTATCTTCTGCTTTGAGTCAGCAATATTTTTCAATCTATCCTGATTTTTAATATCCATTTTCAATAGTTATATCTGTGCACCCTATTAGAAATGTTAAAGCTTTTATACTTTTTTACCTATTTTCCAGTAACCCTGTTTAATTAAACAACCTTCCACTGGGTGATATCAAGAAAAACATATTTTTCCAGAGGTTTGTTGTAATATAATCACGTACACCAGTATCCTGGTGACAATACGCGCAATGAAAGCACTATCTGGTGCCATTGTGGCACATTTCCAATGTCAACGTTTTACGCAAATTTATTTCCTCGGTAACATCTTCAAGCCTCATTCTGGAAGCCTTAGATAAACATCTAGACATTCATAAGCAGTTGTATTTTTAGGTTGAGTGTTTCGGGATATGATCAAGTTAAAGTTACATGTTAGGGTTAACATTAGTGCTTGGGTGCTTGGGTTAAAGAGGATACAAGGTTTAGAGTTCGAGCAGTTTCCTGAACTCGTTTTTTCTTGCCCCACCATGGTGTGCATTTCCATCTTTACCAGTTTTCTCCGATCAAGTCAATATATGGTGCAAGTGCTTTGTCGTGCATTAGCAGTCCTGTATTTACTTCACAAAGGACAAACACGTACAATATCTTAATATGAATCAGTACTCCGTTTCATGAGATGTTTTTACTCATCAGGCATATGAAGTGTGTAAAATCGATTTGTTTGTGAACAGGGAAGACTGGTAAACATGTAAAGGTATATTTTGGTAGGATGCGAGGACTTAAGTTTGAAAAGCGCAGAGCTAGAGAATATATTTTAGAGTACGAGTTAGGTCAGCACTAGGGATAGGATAAGTTAGGATTATATCTAAAATTATGATTAGAACTTGAGAGTTAGGATGAGGCCGACAGAAAGGATTCAGACGAGTTGGACCCAGAGCTGATTCTCCAATTGGATGTCATTGCTTCCTCTCGTAAAACTCCCCAGGGCGGCCATCAGAAAGAGCGGAATGTGCCAAGAGTGGCATTAAAGAGTGACCGGTTTGGCACGGAGCCGTGTTTATCGATGAGGTAATAGAATCGACGTCCACGCACGCGCACAGGCAGGAGTGCAGTGGCGCTGGAGACGGCGATGGGGCATGATACAGAGTCCACTGCCACCTCGAAGGCACGCGCAGGCCCCAGCGGTCCTAAAAGTGGCGCCGCGGTGCGGAACGTGAGTGCCCGGCCGCCCCGAAGTAAGACCACGCGCTGCACGTAGCGTGAGGAGAAAAGGACGCTGCCCAACACGATCATCACACCTGAGGGCACAGACAATTATGAAGAGGGTAAGGCAATGGTGTCCAGTGATAGGGTGGGAGGAATATTCAGGAGGGCTGAACAGAGAAAATGCTAAGTCGAGAATAATACAAAGGGGAAGACCACAGTGGAGGGAAGGAGCATGAGAAATGAAGGGAGACCAAGTGAAATGTAGGTATGCTGGGGGGGATGTAGTGAGACTAGGAGAGATGAAGAAACACCAGGGTGGATAGAGGGAGACCAATCTCAATGGAGGGAGGACCAGAGAAGATGAAGGAGAACCAGGTAAGATAAAGGGATACTGCGTGACACTAGATGGGGATAGTGGAATATGGAGTTGATACTCACCCACGGTGAGGCAGAACATAGAGAATCCGTAGCGCCATAACTCGGAGCTGCTGGTCAGTGCCCCGAAGGAGAAGTGTGCAAGGTAGCCCCAGAAGACCGCCTGGCCACATGCGAACAGCGCCAGCAGCCGAGGCAAGCGGCCGTTGTTGCGCTCGAAGATCACCACATCACGCGGAACCTGCGAACCACAGCCGCAGAACCAGCCTGTGCTGACGACTACAGCACAGTGATGATGCCCAATGACGGTAAAACTGTTTTATCAAGTTACGTACGCTTGCACAACTAAAGTCAGTAAAACGAGTTAAGCTGGTTTTACCATATTCTACAGAAGATATGCTCTGAAAAGATGCACCCAAAACGCGTGTTTGATAGCAATGTTATACAAATGTGGTCATATGCAAACACAAATCGAATTATAAGATGCACAACCAACCTTTTGCATTCATTTAGTAAGATTTTAGGAGGCATTCGCATCAATGGCGAGCGATAAAACGTTTTATTTTACCAAGACCCATTTTGCTATAATGTATAGCTCTTGTTCAGATGCGACCTGGCCGCAAATGATAGCTCAACGAAGTGAATTATCACGTGGAAAAATATATGGAGTAGAATACTCCTAAACGCATGTTGCTTATAAATGTGGAGGGAAAAAACCAGAGTGCCCGGACAAAAATCCACGCGACTCCAAGAACATGCAAACTCCAAATATATAGGGGATCAGGCTCGTAATCAAACCCACGACCTCCTGCATACCAGGCGAGGGAGTTAACATCTCGCCATCGCTGCGTGACCCGACCTGCCTCCCATCCCGCGTCCTCCTTCAACAACGCGCACTGCGTGGAGAAAAAGCCTTCATCCAGCAGTGGACTGACATGCGGCTGAAAAATCCCAACAACTTTTGAGTACGAACATTCAAGTCCACGCTCCTCCACAGCGACGCCTCCAAGTTCTTTCCGCGCCAGGTGGAGCCCGCGTCGGGGCGGGGCTTCTGATGAAAGGGGCGTGGTGAGTGCAGAAGTGGGCGTGGCGATTGCAGAAGTGGGCGTGGCGATTGCAGAAGTGGGCGTGGCGACTGCAGAAGTGGGCGTGGCGACTGCAGCAGTGGGCGTGGTGACTGCAGAGGTGGGCGTGGTGACTGCAGCAGTGGGCGTGGCGAGTGCAGCAGTGGGCGTGGCGAGTGCAGAAGTGGGCGTGGCGACTGCAGAAGTGGGCGGGCCCGCTGGCGTAGTGGGCGGGTCCACGAATTGAAGGGGCGGGGCCGATGGAGGAGGGGGCGGCCCCAGCAGGCGAGGCCAAGGCGCCATCCGCGGCCCAACCCCGGGCAAATGAACGCAGCAGCAGCCGCGTGCAAGAGCATGTTTCTCCTGAAAGTATAGCTGCCCGGCTCGCCGACTTGAAAGGGGTCCGCCTGTCTTATTCGGTTTCTTTTTTTGGATTGAAAAAAGCCAACTGCGCTCCCGATGTCACGAATGAGGTTACGCGCTGCGCTCGCTCCTCCTGGGCGCTGCCATCTTGCTTTTACCTACAATGCTGCGCGGTCTCCGCTATGACGTCATTACCGGTTGCTTTAAATGACGTCACCTAGCAAGTTGAAGTGATGTCACTGCCAAGTTGAGATGACGTCAGTTTTCACTTGTGATGACGTCGGTCATCAGGCGTGCAGGAAGTGCAATGGAAACTTTAGTGACCCCACAGGGCACGCTGTTTGAAGGCAGACTAACTAATGGGTTTCAATAAAGATCACAGGGCAAAACAAAAAATGCTAACTTCAGTCAACACGTTATTGTACATGTGCCCTAATATAACAACTTTATAGCCTGCAAGAGGGCAGCAAACCTAGTGTGCAAAGTTTGGTCAAGCGCGTTGACTGATAATTGATTAACTGGCTACCCAGAAACAACTGTGGCTCTGTTGCCATGGCTCATTAAGGCTGCCTATGTCAGAAGGTCCTTGTCCACATAGCTATAACCTTCGAATTGTGTTGTTTTTCCAGTAGAATCCAAGTTTCAACAGTTTGCAGCTTTATCCGGTGTTTTTCTGAGAATGCCTCTTATTGCTGTTCAGCGCATCCTGTTTGCATGTCGGGTTATATACAGTAATAAAAAAAATGGAAAGCAATACTTCCTCTTTCAGGGATTTCCAGAATTCCAGCCACAAGGACACACATTGTGAATACAGTACAGTATTCTAATTTCTCCCAGGCTTCTCATGCAGTTTCTGTGTCGGAGTGCTTGATTCACTTGGGAATATGGAAACCTCCATCTCCGCAATCCACACCTCATCGTTGTCCACCAATAGTCAAATATGTAATTAATAGCCACATGAACTGGCACCACTGAGATCCTGAGTTCCAATCAGAATCAGACTGTATTTCGACTGGAGGAATCCGATGAGCTATGAAGCTATTTTTCACACATGTCCAGTGCGGGCAGGTCAGCAAGTTATAACAATACGAAAATATCGATATGAGTGCAAAATACAGAAAAGATGAGCAAGTCAATAAAGAAAAAGATATATAAATACAAATTTCACAAGTACATCAATCTCTACAGATTTTCAAACACATACAAGCTCGGGCAAGGCAGCAAAACAACAACAGCCCCAAACCCCACCAAGATAAAACACAGTCCCTCAAAATTGCAGATTAAAATTGAACTTCATGCAGGAGAGCCTCATCGGCTGATTTTAAAGACGCTCTTCCAGCAGGGCCTTGCCTGGACTGGGATGTTTGGCAGCGTTAACTTTGTCAACGTGGGTTCTTTAATTTTGCCGTGAATTGGTAGGGGGGTCCGTAGGTTGCCAGGCTTCGCGGTGTGTCTCACGTCACATTCATGCCAGTCGCGCGGCCTTGACTTGACCTCTCATTGCCAGTGTTCATGTGACCCAAGAGACAGATATCGGCCACTTGTAAATACACTGGGTTCTCAAATAAGTATGGTAAGTTGACGCTACAATAAACTCCATCACATTAAATTTGGTTCCGCACTTAATTTGCCAAAATTCCAGTTATGACAAAAAGTAACGGTCATCATGTGATGACAATCTCGATTTTCACAAATGCTTCAGGACAACTTGGCAGCCTGAAACTAGCCCCACCATCACCTTATTAATAATGTAATTTGAATGGGAGATCTGGACACTCGTGAATTTGGACAAGCGTTATTTAAAAAATTAAGTTGTGGGAAGTAAAACAAATTTGGGATTCTTTTAATTTGAGGTTTGGGCTGTGACAAGCAAAGGTAAAACATTATTTCTGTTGAAACAAGAATTGAGTTGACACTTGTCTTGTTTGGCCACCGTAAACCAGTGGTGGAAATTACACATCCCCATGGAAGGGAGCAGTCTCCCATCAGGTAACGGCTTTTGATGTTTCACTATTTGGTGCATATTTGACCAACCCTGGAGGGATTATGGTCAGTCGAGTGCTCTGCCACAAAAACACTTGTTCAAATAACCCCCACGACCCACATAGCATGGAGAGGCCCTAATTGAGCAGTGGATTGACAAATAGCAAACGTCCACATGTACATGTGTTCTTGTCACCAGATATAATATTTTAAAAAATGCAGTAGGTGGCAGTAGAGTGCGTGAAGTCACTCAGCAAGTATCGTGTGACAGTGCCTCATGCGTTTAGAATTACATCTGGAAATATTGTGCAAATTTCTGATATACAGTGCAGTGACCATTAGTCAAAGATGTTACAGAGGATGACGTGGTTTTGATTTTATGACTACGGTAATCTTGATAGTAAAGATTATTATGGCACTAGCTTGTTTGCCCATCCTAGGAGGAAGCTGTAATATTTACGAGAAAATTGAGCAGTGTATAATTGTATCTTGTGTAAATTTAATGGCAGTCAATCTTGCACGAAAGTATGTCATCCAACATTTCACTGCATTTCACTGTGTCACGGTATTAATGGCAGTGAATCTGGCACAAAACTAAGTCATAAAACACCTCACTTCATGTCACTGTACCACTGTATATAACTGACCTTCAATTTGTTCAAATTCACTGCTGCTGATACTTTATTCTCTTTTGCTTTCGGTCGCTGGGGTTGAAATAAATTGGAATTCGATACAATATCTGGGAAATCACGGATACATGTCTATTTTACCATAATGTAGAAGCATAAATTAGACTTTCCTTTTGTCTCAAGTGAAGAAATAAATAAAAAGACACCAAATACACTTTGTTGTTGCGGATAATACTTTATTAGAATCACTTTCAATAAAGAAACGTCAAACTTAAAGAGAATTTGCGATAAAAAAAGATTTCCGCTCGACCTTCTGCGTGAGTGTAAAAATCCACCCGCTCATGAATATTAATGATGGGGGGGTGCGGCATGTGGAGTGACGTCACGTGCGTTACACACAAACATACATTCTTGGCTTATTATAGTAGTGATGCCTTTTCACGCAGATTCAAGCAAGGGGAAAAAGGATGACTGGCTGCATAACGGTGGCGAATGCCTTTGTAGTATTTATAATGCTTGCATTTGTTTGTGGAACGAGAAGGATACGTTCGAGAGAGGAAATGGTTGTTTAAATTAGCTCCATTAAAATCACGAACCGCTAGGCAGTCTTCTCACGACACTCACTGGCTCTCAAGAGATGCCATCATTGCTAAGCGAACCAGGAGGCGTCTTGAACGTATCGCATCCCGCAGTGGTCTACCTGCTGATCGACTTGCTTACAGAGTCGCCTGCAGGAAAACTAACAAACTGATCCTTGTCTCACGTTCCTCCCACATTGAGGAACGCATCAAAAAAGCAACCGGAAACCCGCGCATTCTATGGAAAACTCTCAAAGATCTTCTCCATCCTGGTAGCACCATGGTCCCTCACCTTAGCGATCCCCTTGCCTCACTGAAACTTTCCACCTCTTTTAATACTTACTTCAACAACAAGCTAATTGCCGTCGCAAACTCGTGCACGTCTACTGACACATTGCACCATTGTACCCCGCTCATGGTACCTAAAATTGTAAGCACTAACCCAGACACTCTTCTAACTATGCTAAAGCCTGTGTCTACAAAAGACGTTTTCGCTTTAATTGAATCACTTCCTTTGAAGTCATCTCCACTCGACATGCTCCCAGGTTCCTTGTTCAAGCAATGTGCTCCGGAACTCGCCATCATGATCAGGAACATCGCAAATGCCTCCTTCTCTTCGGGGTGTTTTCCATCCAACCTCAAATCTGGCCTGGTTTCTCCCTTGTTAAAGAAACCAAATCTAGATCTGGATGACCCATCTAGTTATCGTCCCATCACTAACCTCTCGAACCTCTCTAAACTCCTTGAACGACTAGCCCTCGCCCAGCTACAACCACACGTCACCTCCTCCGCAAACTACTGCAACTTCCAGTCAGCTTACCGTCAAAACTATTCCACAGAAACAGCACTCACTAGGGTGCTCGATGACATTTTAACGATCGTTGATTCCGGCTCAACTGTTGCACTTGTAAGTCTGGACATTTCGTCAGCCTTCGACACCATCAACCATTCGCTCCTTACTTCCCTCCTGAAATCCGACTTCGGTATATGCGGCTCAGCACTCAAGTGGATAGCTTCGTACCTTTCTGACCGGCAATCCTCAGTCAGGGTGGGCATGTCCACATCGCCTGAAACAAGAGCATTATGCGGGGTTCCCCAGGGCTCTGTTCTAGGTCCCCTGCTCTTCACAGCCTACACTTCCCCGATCGGCCGACTCATTGCAAGCTTCGGTGTTAAGCATCACTCATACGCGGATGACACGATTCTATTCACCGCCATCGATTCTAGCAATGCATCTGGATTCGAGAGGCTCTCGGAATGTACCACCGCCGTGCAACAATGGTTCACTGCACACAACCTAGCCCTTAATCCGAAAAAGTCAGTGGCCATCATGTTAGGTACCAAGCAACGTCTCAATTCAGCAGCACTCCCCACACACATAGACATCTTCGGTCATAGCATCAAGTTCACCAACCACTTCAGCTACCTCGGTGTCATCCTAGATTCAACTTTATCCTTCGACCGTCAAACCAACCATATCATCAGCTCATGTAACTTTCACCTGAAGGCTCTTAGACACATACGTCCTCTCATCTCTACTGAAATTGCCAACACTTTGGCATGTTGCATAGTTGGGTCTCGCCTTGACTATTGTAACTCCGTCCTTGTCCGGACCTCCGCTGGCAACCGAAGGAAGCTTCAAAGACTACAAAATAACCTAGCACGCGTCGTCATTGCCCACACTCATCCCCGCCTCGACTCACTAGCTCGTCTCCGCGCTCTCAACTGGCTCTTCATTGCCAGTAGGGTCACATACAAGACCGCCTGCCTCTGCCACAATGCCTTCATATCCGCCTGCCCGCCGTATCTTTCTTCATTACTGACAACTTGCAGCTCAACACACGGCAGATGCCTGCGCAGCGCGACTCACGACCTCCTCTCAATACCAAGATCCAGGATGGTCATGTCTACGCGCCGCTTCTCGGTGGCAGCCCCAACAGTCTGGAACGATATCCCTCTGCACATTCGCAGCAT